AGCACGTGCACAGGCGCGACACACACACACACACACACACACACACACACACACACACACACACTGCTGACTGAATTGATCGGCTGTCAATGAACAAAGTATCCCACTACATACTCGCACTAATATTTACACAACAAATAACAACAAGAAATCCATGTACCAGACCATAGCTATTCCTCACACACACACACACACACACACACACACACACACACACACACACACACACATATAAGGAGACAATTTCATCTGAAACTGTCACACTAGCTCTTACTATCACAGTGTGGCATAAGAATCATCCGGCCTGCAGCTGCTGTTAGTGCATGCGTTCATTTCCGCTCAGCTGTCACAACACAAAGGCGGCAGGAAATGTACAAAAACACACAGACACAGACACACACACGCCCACTAACACAACTCGCTACACTGCAGTCGACAAACAAATACAGTACAAGGACAAAAAAAACCAACACGGAATACTGTACACGTTAGTTATGATGGCAGCATGCACATTGCACAGTGCAATCATGGTTAAGCACATCTGCCTCACAACTCTGAAGTCTGTGTTTCAAATCTTAGCTCAGGCCTTCTTGCATGGAGTTTGCATGTTCTTTGTATTTTTGTTTTGTTCACTGTAGACTCTTAATTGTACATGGTTGTGAATGCAAATGATTTGTCTAAATCCGGGATGGACCCCACTTCCCTTGGGGTAGGCTCCAGATAAGTGTGTGTGCTCCAAATGTTAGTTGCGTGTCTGGAACTTTTATCCCTTCCGACAGTAGTTGCACTTCTCATGCACAGTATCGGGCTATTATTAGCACTATTGGTTGAGGCAGATGAACACCACATAGTATGCAGAATTTAAGATGACAAAATGCAGTCGCGGTATAGTGTAAAGTGTACACTTTTTCAACACACCGAGCCAGACAGATGCAGAAGTAGCGTGTGAGGAGATCATGGGAATCACTGAAGTGTGACTTCATCTGTATACTACCGCCTTAGCTGCAGATGATGTCGTTCAAATGATGTGATTGTCTTTACAAATTATCAAGACAATAGCAACTGGTCCATTTTGGTAAAACATGAATAATTAGCTTTGTTGTGTGTTCAATGGGTTTTTGCATGTTGCGTTTACATTGTGTCATCTCGAACAAATCTGGATTAAGTTTTTTTTTTTAAATTTGAACTAGGAATGTCATCCATGCATTTTCTAAAGCTGTTGGCCTCATTCAGACTTGCAGGTGAGCTGGACCCTATCCCAGGTGATGTGGGCAAGAGAAGAGGGGTACACCCTGGAGTGGTCACCAATCAATTGCGGGGCACATACAGACAAATACAGAAATGTAAAATGTTCTTTCAATGAACATGCTATGCAAGTTTTTACAATTTGGAAGGAAGCCAATACTGGGGAAAACCCTTCATCAGCCTCAATGTTATTTTTTTCATGTCACTATCATACTTAAACATACTGTACATACTGTACCTTCTTTTTAGAGTGGACTCAAATTATGCAGAAGCATGAGTGCTACGACACTGTCATCTAGTGTTCACAATAATCCACTACCCCAGCATGTTTGGAGGACAAAAAGTTGTTGTGGAAAATTTAATTCACAATTCTAATAATTATGTATTGTTGATAAATGTTCATGCCTTTCAAGAATTAATCCATACTATTAGAACTCATTTTAACAATGTAGTTGTAAATCCTACACACATAGACAAACAATCATTTGCGCTCACCATCACACCTAGGAACAATTTGAAGTACCCTCTCAACCTGGCATGCATGTTTTTTGGAATGTGGGAGGAGAAAGTACCCGGAGAAAACTCTTGCAGACACAGGAAGAACATGCAAACGCCACACAGCAAGGCCGGAGCCGAAATCGAACCCTGCACCTCTGCACTGTGAGGCCGATATGTTAACCAGTTCAATATAGCATGAATCAACCATTCAATATAGCATTCATGTTTTTTACATTCATCTTTTATGAGCCGCAAACGTATTCACGCTTAAAGGGGACGTCAATCCCCAAATTTCCTTTCCAATCTTATATTCTATGCAGCCTCTCCAGTCCAATGACAGCATTCTGATTAATATTGTGTGTGGAGAATATAAATTAAGCAGTAAATTCCATCCGTTTTTGGGCGGCCATTTTGTTGACTGAAAATGACATCATAGTTGCTCAGGGCTCAGGTAACAACCAATCATGGCTCAGCTTCAGAAAACATTATTATTTACTTATATTCAAATTTAACATACTTTTTTTTTTTTTTTTTTTTTTACAAAATTTAGTATTTTAGATGGATGTGTAATTCAATTATTTAAGTTTTTAAAAATTGCTGTACAACTAAAAATAATGAATAATTTGCATCAAGAATAATACAGCAATATATTGATGTTTCCACTTGTATGAATACTTTGTATTACTAATTTAAAACCGATGTTTTTAAATGTGTTCATATTTATTACTATTATTATAATTATTATTATGAGTTGTGATCCAAGCGAGACAGAAGACACACAAATCTCGACAATTGCAGCAGATTTTAATGGTCCCACACCCATGCCCACCCACCCACACAGACACCAACAGCAGCAGCACAAACATCCAAGCCAAGACTTTTACAGAAATGACAGGCGAGCAGATGTTTATTCACTTTTCTGCATTATGAGTGACAAAAACAATCATGTAGTTTCATATTTGGGTTACTTTCAAGCAGTTTGTCACAATATTTTCTCTCTTTTGATTTCCTACCGTAACACAGGAATGCAACACAAATGAATCCAATTACATTGAACAATGTCACTTGTCTTCTCGTAGTTAGAAATACTAAAAATTGCCTTTTTTGTGTGAAATCAAACAATCAAATTTGTGCTAAACACTGACAAAACGGGCTCTGACACACCAGCAAATCATTTACACGTTTCATGGCTAAATATGGTGTTCCCACAGGAAGAAGGCCTTAATGGGGAAGTCAACTGAAAACGTTTCTTTCGTACAATGTTCCATGCAGCCCTCCATGGTCTAAACACGGTATTCTGATTAATATTGTGTTTGTGGAACATGAATTAAGCAGCAAAGTCCACTTGTTTTTAATCCATCTCAGGGGGCGGCCATTTTGCTCATGTCGAATGAATGATGGCTCAGGTAATGACCAATCAAAGCTCAGCTTCCGAAAGTCACCTGCCCAAAACTCAGAAAACAGGTGAGCCGTGATTGGTTAATACCTGAGCCCGAGCAACTGTGATGTCACTTTCAGTCGACAGCAAGTGTCAAAATGGCCACTCCCTGAGATGGATAAAAATGGGTGGATTCAACAGTTTTGAATACATCCGAAGTTTGTCGCTATTTCATCTTGTTTAACATTCTCATCATTTCAAAATGTATATATTTTTATCCGAACCCCCCCCCCCCACACACACACACACACACACACACAAAATCTGGATGTTTGGGGGAGAATAAACATGGAATACAAAATGTCCCTTCACTGATTATGCACATTTTCTCACTTTATCACCATTCTGGACCAATACAAATTGTTGTGTTTTTGCGCCGCAGATATGCACATTTTCTCACTTTATCACCATTCTGGACCAATACAAATTGTTGTGTTTTTACACACACACACACACACAAGCACACGCGCACACACACAAGCACACACGCGCACACACACACACACACACACACACACACACACACACACACACACACACACACACACACACACACACTTAAACAATATCCAGTGAGAACAGGTATTTTTTTTGTGCCTACACTGGTTCAATTGGATTGACTAGAAACAGTGTAAGAAAAAAAACCTTTTGACTTTCAGTAGATGCAACAGTGACCCACGACTTTTGTTCAGACAGGACATTCATTGAGTGGTTTGTTCTACAAATACATAGTTTTACAAAACTGCAAATGGAATGTGAAAATAAAAAAAAGAAGAAAAAGAAGCAATAGAAGTAGAAGACACGGAGGGACTAAACCACACATTTGACTCAAAGTTTCATGCATTTGGCTTGTAGTTTTGACCTGAACAACAGGTACTTTAAATGAGAGAAAGGGGGCCCACCATGAAATGGTTGCAGAGACGCTTCAAAGAAAAGGCCATTTGATGACGCACGCACACACACACACACACACACACACGCACGCACGCACGCACGCACGCACGCGCGCACGCGCGCGCGCGCGCACCACACACACACACACACACGCGCGCGCGCGCGCGAGCGAATAAATTCAAGTAAGCACAGTCAACACTTTTTAGACAATAAAACATTCTTTGAACTATTGAACTAGACTTTGTAGAAGCTGAGCAGCGCCACCCGCTGGACTGATATGCTAATTGCACCACAGTGTCTCTCAAAGCCTCCACTGTGACGTGGTCACTTGTGTCCATTACATATTTACAAAAGTCTCCGCAGCTAAAAGCGTCACAGGGCCGACACTTTGACGACGTTGGCCGAGCTGGTCGTGGTCTGGATGCTGGGCCCCGGGGAGGGGAGCGGCGGCCTGCGAGTGGGGGGACCGCGGAGGTTGTCACTGTCTGGCGTGGTCAGGGCGGGGGGCGACGGGAGGCTGACGATGGCTGTGGTGATTCGGCCTCCCTTACAGTTGAGCCTCCCGACATCGTCCGCCTTCAGGTTCAGTTTTGAACGACTGCAAGGAAACAAACCACATTATTTATATGCTATCCATGCTGTTGTAGACTTGTTATATACTATTTCGGTGTATTTTTTTAAGTGTACTTTTTGTTCTCAAATGTTTACATTTTGATTTTAGTTTAATGTTGAATGGAAGTTAATAAACAAGTCTCTTTACTCAAAGATAATGCACAGTTTGGACATGATTTTTTTTTCCAAGAACATGTGTCCACATGAGTTTGCACATTCACCTATCATCAATGGCTCAAGTAAACATTAATTTCTATTGAAGAGACTTCATAACCAGGCCTATTTTTTTTTAACATACATGCATCATTCATTATAAAAGTATGACAAATTAAATTCTGCAAGGATACAACATTTCCTTATATTGTGGTACTAGATATCTTGAAAGTTTGGGCTCATTTCACACTTAAAGAAGCTGAAGTGCCATGTGCCCATTGCAAAGTAAAAACTGGCTTAACTAGGTTTACTGCAGGCAGTATGTTTATGGTCAAGTAAACCTTGTTGGCTAATTTAATACCACTGCTAGTTAGAACAACTGCAATCCACAACAGATGTTGAGGATAGACGGAAGATAGACACAGACGTTGGTGCTGTTTCAATTACTCTCGTGAACAAATGGGAACACCACTGTAAATGCAAGCACGTTCTTAGCCAATGTACTGAGAACTGCAACTGACTGCGTCACTCTACGCACATAGTGGCAAACGCTTTAGCCAGTAAACAGCTGGCCAACTGTACATCCGCATGTGCTTACCACCAATCAAAAGGCCCGGCCCGCCTCTGAAAGGCACACAAATTTTCCGCTTCACAGAGACCACAACTGTGTAGAATGTGAGGATCGCAACCCCCCCCGCAAGTGAAGAAAAGTAATACCTTATGTTAATATACTGTATTGTGGTATTACCCTACAAGAATCAATCTTTTAAAATATATGTGAATAATAAATACCGTATTTTTCTGACTATAAGTCACTTATTTTCATAGTTTGGCTGATCCTGTGACTTGAGAGCTCAGACTGGCACCCAAAATCTCCATAGCCTAATTGTGTTGAGGGTAGCTAACGAGTTCCGGCTGCATTCAAAATGTATGCTTCTAACTATCAAACAGTTTTTCTTTTTAGTTTAAAATGGCTTACTTGAACTGGAATCCTGTGTCGCATTGTGGCCAAAGGTAGAATCCTGGTCAGTTTTCTTGCCTATTACTGCGAAATAGTAACTCCTTGTGGCAAGCTGAACTCGTACGTCACACATTAGGTGGCAAGACGACTATTACAACTAAAACTTGTTGTGGTTCTTTTTCTTCTTCAATCTTTTTGTGGTTGAAAAATGCTTTTGGTGCATTAACGCCACCTTCTTGAGCATGTTGTTCGGCCCCAATGCCACTACAGGGAGCGGGGATTTGGGATACCAATCCGAGCTCTACTGATCTTGGTCTCGAATTTTGTAAAATACATTTCCACCAAAAAATATGACTTGGTTAACATTAGCAAAAGAGCATCACTAGGTGTTAGCACTGAGGCCTTTGTCAGTCTTGTTTCATGCCAGTGTATTTCACCTGGTAGAGCGCGATGGTCTATCAGCACACTGGATGTGGATGGCACTGAGCTCCTGCAAGGGGCCCTGTTGGTTGACTCCGGGCTGCAGGGCGGCAATGGGCAAGGTCGTGTTCCTCTTGGACCTTCGGCCGCAGCAGGTCGGCGTTGCTGTGTCACGACTACTCACGGATTCTCTGCGTGCGGCGGGGAAGCTCTGCATCACGGCTTCCACATAGTTCTGCTCATATAACTGTTCATCTACGAACTCATGAGCCTGGGAGAGAACACGTATCAGAATATTGAAAAAAATGAAGATGGAGGCAGTGGAGGACTAAAGTTAGAAGCGTTGCACCTACAGTGGTTTTCTCCAGACAGTGCAGCAGATGGTGGTGTTGGCTCTCTAAAAGACACGCTGACTTGGGCAGCTTCTGCTCACCTGTGTTTGTACCCTGATTGAACAAAGTTAGCAGGTGTTACAAACTTAAACAAAGTAATGTTTGTCTTTTGTTTTTTTTACATCGAGATCAGGGGCCATGGGCGCTGACTAGTCAGCACACTTTTTTTTATATATATATATATATATATACACACACACTGTATGTATACACACATATATATAACATTGCAGATTACTTTCCCAAAGCGGATATTCAAAGGGTTTGAAAGACAATAACATTCCGGCTTGGGCGTTGCCAACTAAGATGAGGAACAAATTAATTGTCTCCCACCACACAAAGGGTTTGAGTCGCAGGCGATCAAACCGCAAGGATTCTCATTCACATTCCACACACTCGTGAACACAACTGGAAGAACGTGAGCTCAGGCACATGACAGCTTCTCCATGAACGCATTCCTCCTTTCAATGGCATCGAGCTTTGATGCTTGGCCGTTTTTTTTCACGTGAACCAAGGCAGAGGGCCAAGAATCAAAAGCTTACAAAATTCGGTATATTGTGCCTGACTCCTCAATGTTGGCTTGGTATTTTTTTCTTAATTTTGGGGAAAATCACACACCAAAATCAGTTTCACTCATAGGAGCATGGAATTTAGTTCGTCAAGAGTGGAAATATGAAATATACTTCACTGTGTTTTCCATTTGCATGACTTTTTTTTTAATTTGGGAAAATTCAAGGCCAGTTATCCTGAAAATAAATTAAACAAAGAAAACATTCAGTCTTGAAATGTGATGAAATAAAGACATGTTACACAACTAATGTAACAGAATGAATATGCAAGGCCTTAGTTAGAAAATATTCAAGAATGCACCACATATGATAATGAGCCTCACATGAGTCGCTAATAAACTCCGTCAAAACAAATAAAAATCCTAATAGGAAGCCAGGAGGCAACAGTTAATTTAACTGACGGGGAAAACCGTCACATATCGCTTCATGACCACTGACTTGACAGCCGCCGCCGTGCCACTGTAATTTGACTCGCCGGCGGCCTCGCGGCTGATCTGCCACTTGCAAATGGCATTTATATGGTAATGCTCAAGCGCCGGCGTCGACTCCCGATTCGATTAGACCCAAATGGATTTGAGGAAATGGAGGGATATAAGCCATGTGCTGGTGTTAACAGATACATCGTAACGGCGAGGGAAGAAGAGGAAAGGAAGCCGGATGAATGAAACGAAGCTTCACGCAACAATCAACAATCAGATAAGCAGTTTGATACATTATTTTAGCAGGTTGACATTCAGATTTCCAAGGTTCGAAGCAAGAACCCTGTCTTATTTTTTTATGGTGTCTAGTAATAGTATCGGCGGTCATGTCATTAAAATAGATATCCAGTGAGTTTTTTCATTCAGTAGTGTATAGTTTTACTGATTTTGACAGCCAGAAATCATAAAAGTTTGCAAAGCCACTGAAGAAGCGGCTCTAAGGTTTCAGTGCCACCCCCATGCTGGCTGCTGTGAACCTTGAACTAGCTTTAACCCCGCAAGCATTTCAAGCTGAGCTCAAGATTGTTATTTATCTTGACATGTCAAAGCAAGAAAGTGAAAAATATGTCATATTTTAAATTATATCTTTGCTGAACGATGTCTTTTGTCATACAAGTCATTTTTTATTTTCGTTGCCCTCCCTTGTCTCATTTTTATGGAGTAAAATAATCCACACTGGAAAGATTAAAAAATGCATTTTTTTTGTTGTTCAAGAATAGATTTTAAATTATTCAAAACACATCCACACACTTTATATATATATATATATATAGAGAGAGAGAGAGAGAGAGAGAGAGAGAGAGAGAGAG